AGAATACAACGTTTTCAATGCTTCAATTTAGGCTGTCGTGTTCTATCGTGTGATATTCATATTAATACTTTTACTCTATCACTTTGTATCAAGACAGATGTATTGGTTATATATAATACAATCAGAAATACTATCAAAATTTTCAGCAGCTACACCGAATATGTACCCTTATTGTTGTCAATTGATATTAATTTATCGGTATGTTATTAACCATTAACCATGTTTGTTGCAGGTCCCACGAGTATATATAAAGTTGTGGAAGACCTAATAACCTGGTATGAAGGTAAAGATAGATGTGAAGCTATGGGCTGTATACTAGCAGAACCCAAATCTGAACAAGAATTCAACGCTATAAAGGCTGTATTACCACCAGGTATAGATATGTCGTAATTGAAGCAAGAATAACCGCTGCGATTTAAGGTTTTTAATGATGAAATTTATTTACCAGTTTGTTACGTTGTACTTGTATCCCATTAATTGCTATTTTTTTTATTTTCATTTCATTAGGTTGGTTTTGGATCGGGATAACCGAACAGAACCATAAAGAGCGATACACTTACTACACAGACGACCAAGATATTGTATATAATAGTGTGGTGGTAACAACAGCTTCCGAAAACTACAACTGTGTTGACATGTAGTAAGTAATCTTAATGTCACCTAAAATATGGAGCGGTCATAGTTAAGAATAATGCTGACAAATCATTGTTTGGAGTGACTGTTTGTTTTGTTTCTATATATATTACTCAATAACTGAGAGACCACGAAATATGGTATGGTGATTTATTGTGGCTTATGCAGTCTTTCATGAACGTATATTTGTAGTAGTGACAATTTCGTATGGTATGCATATGGTTGTGATGCTCAAGACGATGGTGCAATCTGCGAGTGTGAGTATAGTGTTTGATCTGTCTCCATAATAATCAGATGTAATATATTAGTGGCAACCCAACCCTTTGCCAAATAAACCATTTCTGTAACATACAATTGATTGATTTATGTTATGAATGAACATATCATTTTCAAAAAACCTATAT